ATATGACACATATATTCAAGAACACGTTTGTCTGTACATGTGCCCTATATGTGTTCGGAATTGTTCCCAGAAACATCTTACCAAGGAAGGAGGAATTGCTTCGGTTCATGGAGGAAATTTACTTCTATGTCTCCTTTTGTCTGCAAACCACTTTAATGAAGGTACTTCTCTGTGCTATTCACCTGAGGTTATACCAGCAACATCTAACACTGTCACCCTGGGGAATCTGGTACATCCTCACACCAGTAAACTCTATGTTAAAGTACATACCCCTTCACTTTGAAGTTTTTTTATCAAGCCATGGATATAGAGTCAATCATGTCATTTTTAATGCTGTCAGAGCATTCAAGATAAAGTGACTACAGTTTTGAGAAAATTTACTAAGGGACAGGAGAAACATGATGTTAAGAACAGACATTTATACTCAAGTCTAGATAGACTGAGAATGGTCTAACTAAATTTTCAAAAAACTAATTGTTAAGCAGGTAAAAGTTTTTGTATTTTAAATATTCAAAAATTAGTTTAAAAATAATATTTCAGTTTTGGCAAAAGCAACAATTTATATTCTCTTACAAAGCACAAACTGAAAGACGCTTTTTTAAAAATAAAAGCATGCAAAATAACTTTTTATAAAAACTAATAGGTCAGCTACAAGATAAGCTATAGTTTCTCATAAAGCTTGATAACAACCTCAAACAAGATCCACAGGGAGTAGAGTATCTACTCATGAGGTAAGCGATAATTTCGTCCCTCGGCTCCACTGGGACTGCCCTTATATAAAAGTAGAGGGGGAAAAGGAAGACAAGCCTAATTAACGTGCATGCCCTTCTTTCTTGATAAATAATCGAAATACATGAAGCACAAACAAATCAGTATAAAAGAAATATCATCCTAGTTAAAAGACTAATTATACTTAAGTTCAAACTATTTTCAAGTAAATTAATACTCAGTCTTTGAATAAGAAAAAAATTTGGCAAATATACAAATCTGGAATAATCTGATTCAACACCATAACTTAAACATAAGACAAATAAAAGATCATCTTGATATCTGTGGGCTTTACTGCGAATCAGAGTGTTCCCAACTCCTTTAAAAAAACAGAGAGAGAGAGAAACCCTAAAATGATGGAAGGAAACCACACTGCGAAAAACAAACCTAACTGTTTTTAAGGGATATTCTATATTAAGTTAGTGTAAATCACTATGCATGAAGATGATTCAACCCAAAAAACAGAAACAATGAGAATCTCTGCCATTCTAAACCAAGGGCAAAACATAAATTTCTAATACCAGCATGTATAAAAGCAAAGAAAGTAGCTGACACTGTATTTCCTTCCAGTATAGTAGAGGAGTTAAAAATATGGACTTTGAAATCAGACAGACTTGAGTTTGAAAGCTGCCTCTGCCACTTAATAGTTTTGTTAATTTGAACAAATGTCTTAACATCTCTAATCCTCAGTTTTCTCATTTATGACATAGTCATGATAACTGTTGTCTTTATTTTGTGGAACTGTTTCAAGAGTTAAATATAATTTTGCATGAATAAAATTTAGCACAATGCTAAATTTATGCCAACCTCAGTTAAGTGCCCAATACATGATAGCTATTAGCATGAGTCCAAAAAATACCACCAAATCAAATTTTCATGGCATTCCACTCTCTTACAGGTAGCATATAGTGCCTAAGGTACTTGACTGCTAACCAGAAGGCTGGCAGTTCAAACCCACCAGCCACTCCTCGGAAGGAAGATGGGACAATCTACTTCCATAGTGATACTGCCTCGGAAACCCAAGGAGGGGTCGCTATGAGTCGGGTCCAACTCAACGGCACATAACAACAACAGGATTCTCTTTAGAAAACAGACAAGAATGATATTACTTATGAGGTTCATGATAGGTAACAGGTTTCCAGCACATTGCAGTCACCCACCAAATTGCATTTATTTATTAAAAAATGGGACTGTGCACTTCCCAGGGCAAAGATCAGCACATAGCAGATAATAAAGACAATCATTCACTTATTAAACACATAAGCACAACCACTATATTCTAAGCACTATAAAAACCCACTGCTGTTGAGTCGATTCCGATTCATGGTGACCCTACAGAACAGAGTAGAACTGCCCCATAAGGTTTTCAAGGCTGTAATCCTTACAGAAGTAGACTGCCACATCTTTCTTCTGTGGAGCAGCTGATGGGTTCCAACCACCGATCTTTTGGTTTAACAGCTAAGTACTTAACCACTGTACCACCAAGTCTCCTCAGGCACAAAAGTAAGTATATGTCTACTCAGTGGTTACTGTTGAGTCAATTCTGACTCATGGTGACCCCATGTGTGTCAGAGTGGAACCATGCTACATAAAGTCTTCAAATAGCTGTGGCTTTTTTAATAGATCACCAGGCCTTTCTTCTGAGGACTGGCTTGATTCAAACTGCCAACCTATTGATTAGGAGCCAAGCACCACCCAGGGACTCCTTACTAAGCATGGGGGGATATTAAAAAAAAAAAGAAGACATAAACCCAACCCCCCTTTAGGAAAAGAAATTTGCTCTCTACAACTTTCTTCCTTTTACAATATACACTAATCCCCATTGTTTTATCAGTTAAATATCCATGTGTTGGAGACTCCTTGATTCCTCTGCTTCCACAGGCTCCTACATAATACCTCTAAGCTGCCCAATGATTCTGATATTTCCTCCTATAGATTGGGCTACCCCTCATCCAGAGCAATTCACCAACTCATTTGTTTAACTTCCACTTCCTTGCCAGCATCTCCAAAACTACTCTGGCACTATCCTTTTGTTGCACAACATACCTAGGCAAGTCTAATATTGCAGAAGAAATCCACACTACAGATTGATACCAACCTTAATTGAAGCCTAATCATTATCTGGTAATCCCACTACTGTGGTCCCTCCACTTTCTAGATGTATTCCTCGTTCAGACAATTTATGAAGTTTTTCTATCTAATCTCCCTGCATTCATACTGGATTCTATCCCTGTTACCTCTTCTGAGCATTTGCCATATTAATTCCCCTTTTCTCTCTCATATTTTGTTATTTCTCTCTGCTCTCTACTTGTCCCATCAATATCTCAACATACTCAAATTTCTCTTATCTTAAAACACAAATCTCTTTACCTTCTGTCTTTTTCCAATTATCTAATTCATTTTCCTTCCACAGTCAATGGGTTTCTCTTTATATATGGCCTTTCTGACCCTGGCTTTGTAATTCTGCCAAGAGGATTTGTAAATCCTGAAAAGAGACTGGACAGTTTACTATACAAATAAGGTGTGTAAAACCCTTGTAGGGATGGGTCGATACTTAGGTAATTGTAGTCTACCAAGGGGATTGGTCAGTTTGTGGTTTTGGTGGGAGGAACAGGTTATAAACGGGTCTTTCTCCCTTCCTCTCCTTAGCTTCTCTACACTGTGGCTTCATCACAGCTTTATGGGCTCTGGGTAGTCAAACTTCTTACATGATGGCTGGTTTCCTCCAGAATGGTATTAGGCTTTCTGAAAGCCTCAGCTCTAAGTCCAAGGAAGTCTGTTCCATAGCATTTTATTGGTAAAAGCAGTCACAGGGCCAGCCATGTAGGATGAAAGATTATTTTGGTGACCACTTTTGGAAACACAATCTACCATACATCTAAAAACAAAACCAAACTCACTGCCACTGAGTTGGATCCAACTCATAGCAACCCCTCCTTGGGTTTCTGAGGCGGTATCACTACAGAAGTGGATTGCCCATCTTCTTTCCAAGGAGTGGCTGGTGGCTTTGAACTATCAGCCTCCTAGTTAGCAGTCAAATGCCTTAGGCACTATGCCACCAGAGCGCCTACATATAATGCTTAAAATAAAGTCTAAAGTTTATCACCATGGCAAAGGCCCTCTAGGAGGATTCATCATGATGGGAAACATATGATAAAATTAGAAGGGTAGAGTAAAATCAGAGACCTGACTGCCAGATTCTGGATTCTGGATTTATGTTTGCAATTGTTGGTTTCACTTACTGGTCCAAATGTTGTTACATCAGATACACTTGGAGAGTTTTATAAAAACAGTGGTTACTTTAGCCTCACCCTAGAGATTCTAAAAGTTGGTGTAGAATCTGTATCTAAGCAGAGCTCCCAGATGATTCTTAGGCACAGACAGGCTTAGGAGCCACTGCTCTAGGCAACAGTAAGCAACTGCTTTTTTGAGAATGAAAGTGACACAAATGTAGGACTTGAGATGGTTTTTAATTACAAGCTTGAATAATAAAAAGTGGTATTTTTATTTACAATGCCATTTCCCCTTTCCTTCTGAGTCCTATTTCATAAGATTCCTGGGTTCCTTGGCCATGTACATCTATCAGAACTGAATTTCATCATAATTTTACCTTGATAAGTAACAATTATTTCTTCGGTTTTGGTAAGAAAGATGAGCCTGGGATACTGAAGATCAAAGTCCTAATAGCAACGAGGAGGTGGTAGTATTATACACTGTTAAGTGTGAAATGATGAGGACCTGACCTACAATACCAATAGCAAGAATGAAAATGAAGAGATATATCAGAACCTTGACACTGTAAAACTTCTAGAAGAAATCACAAAAAATGTTCTATTCGACCTTAGAGTAGACAAAGAATTTTTCAGTGTGGGGGGGTGGGTAAGGGAAGCTTGAATCATAAGGAAAAAACTTATAAATTGGGCTTAATCAAAACTTAAAACTCCTCTTTATCATTAGCAGGACGATACTGGAATATCATCAATAATATTATCAATAATGAGAAAACACTACAATTTTTTAAATAGGCGAGAAACCTGAACTGATATTTTACAAAAGAAGATATATATATGAATGGCCAATGAGAATATGAAAAGATGTTCAACATCATTAGTAATCACGGAAATGCAAATTAAAGATACAATGTGATACCGCTACATTTTAATGATTATGATAGTTCCAAAATGTTCTCCCTTCACCTCCTCCAAGTAACACTAAAAACCACAACTTCTTACCCTGGCTATGAGGACTTGCTGGACTAAGAGATGGCTGATGCAGCTCTTTGGTTGACATTTGATAGGCTTCTTTCCCTTGGCGCTGAGTCATCTTTCCTGGTGTCAGAAGTTGAGATTCGTCACTGTTTGCTACCACAGCTTAAAGGAAGAAGGGAAAAAGAATTAGTACTAAAGTCAAAGATTTAAAAACTGTACAGTTTATACCATGGAAAAGAATTATGATTGTAATGGTCTCAATGATTATATTCATTTTACCATTATTTTAATAAAATCACATAACTGTTTTTTTCCTTTTAATTTTTGGTTTGCTATCAATCCAAAAGGAACTGACAGGCATATATGAGTCAAATATATAAACTGTAGGCATTCGAAAAACAGAAATACATCCAAATGATTTTAAAAAAATAAAAAGGTACTCTGAGGTTTACTATGTACTTTTTAAAAAAGCAATTAACTCTTTGCTAACAGAGCATTAGGGAAAAGACAATCATTTTGGAGAAGATACAAATGGTCAATAAACATACAAAAAGATACTTAACCTCATTAGTAATCAGAAAAATACAAACCAAGAGTATAAAATAACAGTTTATATTCATTAGAAATATCTACTCTAATTTCTAATTTTCATGGGAAGTAGGGATGATTCCTGTTTTAAAGATGGAAAATCTTGACGTTGAGTGATTGTCCTGCTTAAGACTAACTGTTGTTGTTGTTGTTATGTGCTGTCGAGTCGGCCCCAACTCATAGCGACCCCTCCTTGGGTTTCCAAGGCAGTATCACTACGGAAGTAGGATTGCCCAACCTTCCTTCCGAGGAGTGGCTGGTGGGTTTGAACCGTCAGCCTTCTGGTTAGCAGTCAAGTGCTTTAGCCACTATGCTACCAGAGCTCCTTAAGACTAACTAGCCATTAAGAAATAGAGGCAAGATTCTAACTCAGGACTATTTGGTTCCAAAGAGTGCTCTTGTGAAAAGTTTGCTGCCCAAATAATCAATTTCACTAGTGTTTGAAGGCTGTTTCTCACCCCTTTGGCCAAGGAAGGTTAGGCAATCTACTTCCATAGTGATACCATCTCAGAAACCCAAGGAGTAGTCACTATGGATTGGATCCAACTTGATGGCACATAACAACAACAACAACAACAACAATTAACAGAGGAGAGCAATGCCCAGTCCCAGAAAAGATAGAAAAAAGAAAAACATTCAGTGAAGTAATGGGGCAAACTGTGAGCAAGTTCCCAGGGCCCTAGGATCTCTACAACTTTTTATTTTATGTCTCTGGTGCTTTTGGTTTACAGAAACTTGTTTTATTTTAAGAGAGAATTACTTTATTCTTGGTTTAACTTTTCAACTTAAACAACAAAAACTCTACATTCACATTTTTATTGCTACATGCTTTAAATCAAATTGTTTGGACACATTTTCCACTGCACTGAAGTTTTCAGAATTATACTTTATAATGTTAGATTTCGAAGTACAAATTCTAAACTACTTTCACTTATTAAGGGGCTCTGGTGGCGTAGTGCCTAAGGAATTTGACTACTAACCAAAAAGTTGGTAGTTGAAACCCACAAGCCACTCCATGGAAGGAATACAGGGCAATCTACTTCTGTAAAGACTTACCACCTTGGAAACCCAATGGGGATCATCACTATGAGTTGGAAATGATTGGATGGCAATGAGTTTGGCTTTTTTTTTTTTTGAGTTTTCACTTATTACCTGAGTAAAGATACAAAAACCAGTATTTTCCTACCAAGTTAAAAAATAAATCTAAGGAGTTTTAGGAAGATGGTATATTAAAACATGGGATGTTGCAAAGGCTGGGTTCAAAAGGAAATTTCAGAGTGGTAAATATCTACACTGAAAAAGAAGGAAGAGCTAAAATCAATAACCTAACTGCACAACTTGAGGAGCTTGAAAGGAAAAGCACACTAAGCCCAAAGCTACCAGGAGAGAAATAACAAAAATAAGAGCAGAGATAAATGAAACAGAGAATAGAAAATACAGAGGTTCAATGAAACTGAATGTTGGTATGTTTTGAAAAAAAAAAAACCAATACAATCAACAAATGATTATACAGCCTTACAAAAATAAAAAAGATATAACTATCAAAAATCAGAAATGAAAATGGGGACATTACAATAGACCCTATATAATAAAAAGGATCATAACAGAATGCTATGAACAATTATATCTTAGCAAATTAGATCATTTTGATGAAATTGACATATTCCCAGAAACACAAAGATTTCTGACACTGTTTCAGTAAGAAATAGAACATCTCAACAAACTCATAACTAAGCAAAGAGAATGGATCAGTAATCAAAAACTTCCCAAAGAATTTATTAGTGTTTACAAGGAATGGATGGTAGGGAGAAGACAAGGAGGACGCATTGTTTAGGGGACACTGAGCTTCTGTTAAGGGTGATGGGAACTTTTCTCATTAAATGAAAATGGTAATGATTGAATGATATGACTAGGTAACTACAACCTGATACACACTTCTCCTGATTTTAAACCGTGTAGTATATTCTTGTTCTGTTCGAACAACTGCCTAAGATCTATGTTCAGGTTCTGCATGAGCACAACTAAGTGTTGCTGAAATCTCAGTCTTAGCAATGTTATCCATCATTTGTTATGATCCACACAGTCAGATGCCTTTGCATAGTCAATAAAACACAAGTAAACAACTCTCTAATATTCTCCGCTTTCAGCCAAGATCCATCTGATATTAACAATAATAGCCTTCATTCTACATCCTCTTCTGAATCAGGCTTGGATTTCTGGCAGTTCTCTGTTGATGTACGGCTGCAACTGTTTTTTGAATTATCTGCAGCAAAATTATACTTGTGTGGGAGCTCTGGTGGCACAGTGCCTAAGGTATTTGACTGTTAACCAGAAGCTGGTGGTTCAAACCCACCAGCCACTCCTCAGAAGGAAGATTGGGCAGTCTCCTTCTGTAGTAATACCACCTTGGAAACCTAAGAAGGGGTCACTATGAGTTGGATCAACTCAACAGTGGTGAGTTTGGTTTTATTATTATTATTTTTTTTTTTTGACATTTAGTGATTGTCCTAATACATTAACAGTATTGTTTGATAATTGCTGCATTCTGTTGGATTGCCTTTCTTTGGAAAGGGCACAAATATGGATCTTTTTCAGTGAGTTGGCCAGGTAGCTGTCTTCCAAATTCCTAGGCATAGATGAGTGAGTGCTTGCAGCACTGCATCTGTGTGTTGAAACATCTCAACTGGTATTCTGTCAATTCCTGCATCCTTGTTTTTTGCCAATTCCTTCAGTGCAGCTTAGACTTCTTCCTTCAGTATCATCATTTCTTGATCATATACTACTTCCTGAAACAGCTGAACATCAATTCTTTTTAGTACAATGACTCTGTGTATTCTTTCCATCTTCTATTGATGCATCCTGCATTGTCAATATTTGGGCCATAGAATCCTTCAATATTGCAACTCGAGGCTTGATTTTTTTCTTCAACTGAAGAAAAATGAGAGCATATGCATGCTCAGAAATGCTGAGCACATGTCTTCTCTTTTGGTTTTCCATTATACTTACAGTAAAATCCATGTCCTAAAGATTCAACAGGGCCTGGCCCCTGCCGATCTTTCCATTCTCTCTTCATTCCCTACCACTCTTCCCGTCACTCACCTGGCTCCAGCCACAATCATCTTCTTAATCAGCCATAATTATCTTACTATCTTGCCCCAGTCTCAAGGACTTTATATCTCTAACTCCTTCTACCTGGAACACTCCTACTCCAGATCTTCGCAATGTTTGCCCCTTTCATCATTTGTTGTCAGTGCTCAAATGTTACCTCTTCAGAAAAGCCCTTAGGTGTCTTCATGGTGTCTTTTAATTAAATAAGTTCTTAATTTTAATACAATACAGTTTGCAATTCTTTTTAAAAAATGGTTAGTGCCCACCCCTCCAGTTGTGTCCTATCCCCTATAATCTATATGATTTCCATCGTAGCTATTATCACTACCTAAAATCGTATCATTTGTTTATTGTCTACCTTCTTCCACTACGCTGTAAATTCCATGTGAGAAGGGACTTTTACCTTATTCTCCAATACTCTTCAGGTGTTAGTACATACAGTTCCTAGCACACCTAAGGTATTAAATAAAATTCTGTTGAACGAATAAATCAAGAAATTTTATATTTTATGAATCTTCACTATTATAAAAAATAATGGTGGCTCCTCCGATTACCAAATTCAAGATTCATGGTAAACATAACATTGAATCCTAGAAATAATTTTTGAAATTAAAAATATATGGTACTGTTGCAGAGAGAAAGAAGTTGACGTACAGAACAGAGAGCTGAGAAACAGATCTATGCACATGTGCAGCCTTGACATATCACAGAGGGAAGGAAAGACTACTCAATTAATGGTACTAGGATAACTGGTTATCCACATTGGAAAAACAGATCTGTATTTCATAACTCACAAAAAAGAACAGTTCTATGAAGACTAAAGACATAAATGTAAAGACGTAGAAGCAAATATAACAGAGAAAAAAAAACAACAAACTCACTGCCATTGAGTCAGATCCGACTCACAGCAACCCCTCCTTGGGTTTCCGAGGTGGTATCACTATGGAAGTAGACTGTGCAACTATCCTTCCGAGAAGAGGCTGGTGGGTTTGAATCACCAGCTTTCTGGTTAGCAGTCAAATGCCTTAGGCACCGAGCCACCAGAGCTATCTTTACAAGCTTCATATGAGGTTGTTGTTGTTGTTATGTGCCGT